ATCACTGTTTATATAAGTGATAAAGACAACAAGAACATATTTATGTAAACCTATTTTGGCATCTATCTAGCCAATCATTTGACTCAATCATTTCATTGGATATGTGCAATCATTGTTTTGGAACCAAAATTTTACCAGATAGCATTCTATCGCAGGAGAGCTAAGACATGTCCTTTTTTGTAATCATGGTACTATTTCACTTTTTCTCAATTAAAAGTGTGAGAAGGTTTTGGTTTAACGTTTGACGTCTTGCAGTACATTTTGACATTTGTAAGGCAAGAGCAATATGCTAGATTAAAATTCATATTCGCGCCAATGTTCCATTCAGTGGTATTATTGTGTCTCTGAGATTCTATCATAGTGGTTCTGGGCCCTGAAGCACCGCACTGTTGACTGTTTTTTGTTTATGCCTGAAATTCCTTAGCAAGTTCAAACCCAAAAACCAGCAAGGTTACTAAAACATATAATCAACCATTTTAATAAGTCAATAAGTGCTGGGTGACAACAAAAATCAGCATACAGCATGACTTTCCAGGACCAGAATAATGACCACTCCTCGAATGTATTTGCAAAACACAGTTACACAATACCCAGCCCTTTTCTCTTGGTTACACAACTTGTACTGTCCTCACAACAAATAAGGATTAGGCTGGTAAAAACAGCGCATGGAGGGACATTAAAGGTGAGTCTTCCCACTGTCTCTTAATGAACAATGATCCCTGTGGGAGAGCTAAGCTAACTGCGTTCACACACTCTTATTGCAGGTGTTGCTGGTCAGCAGCAGTCGGCACCCGGACCAGTGGATCGTACCCGGGGGAGGTATGGAGCCGGAGGAGGAGCCGTGCGGAGCAGCAGTGCGGGAGGTGTATGAGGAGGTGAGAACGGCCGCTGGCCTTCATCTTCCCCTATCAAACCACACCTTCCAAAAGACTGCCAACTGATCTGAGGACTGCTATGACTGAAGTGAATTACACATCAACAATTACAGAGTTACGGGCATTCTTAATGAAATTCAATACGATATAGCTACACAAAACAAATGGATGAGTTATAGTTTATGCAGAAACTGTTTTTCATAGTATGACAAATAGTGTTCATACTATCTTATTCTCAAAAATGTAGGTCTCAGTATTATTTGTTCCCCTGAAAATTCTTTCAAAAAGATCTAACAAAATTGGACTCTTGGTGGCTCAGTTAGTGTGTCAGTGAAGTCCTTTCGTTATTCATCACCACAGGGAATGGAAAATAACTGACAAATCCGAGGAGAAAATTTGTTATTGATCTTCGCGTAATGGGTAAGGGGAACAAAAAAACTTAAAGATATAAATTAACCACAAATTGTTCAAAAGGACAGGGCTGGGAGAACTGCTGTGCATGGTTGCATCTTTGGGTCACTAAATGTGCAATCTGACAATTAGACGCCACGTCCTTGCCAACAGGCTGTTTACAAGGTTTGCCACAAAAAGCCCTCATTGAGCACAACAAAGTGAAGCAACTGGAGTTTGCCAAATGCCTTTGGCACTTTTATTGGAATCTTATTAACCCCTTCAGACCTGAATTTCTACCGGCAACAAAATATAATTAGCGTATGTTTATTCTGACACCTACTCCAAATAGAAATAAGGCTCAAATTCATTTTTAATAGTACCAAATGGTTTTCATGGCCATTGAAATGGTTGTAATCGCTCGAGCAGTTTATAATAAATCAACATTGTCCTTGTTATTTTTGAGATACTGTATATATTAATCCTACAACAGATCGTATATATATAAAAAGCAGGTGGTCATACCTTAGCAGTAGTGTTGAATTATTTGCTTCCAGTTTTATATCTGTGCCGATGTTGAATATCCTGTCAGGCTTGGACTTCATCAACAAAGACTGGTATTCAATGCTCGCCTCTGACCCCGGGGGCCTTTGTGTTAAAACCAGCTCTGAAAAAAACAGCAGGATCAGCTGAGAGATGACCTGGTAGTTCTCTGAAAACAAAAAAAGTTTTACTGACACTGAGGCAACATGGTACAGTCAAAACAACCATTGACAGTTTAAATCAGGGGTCTGAGACTTAGGGCTAATGAGGGCTGTGTTTATACATGTTTTATTCCAACCAATAATTGCTTAAATGCTTAAACACTGGAGGAAAAGGATCAGTGCTGTTATCATTGCCAGTTGAGGCTGCACCAAGTACTAAAACTTGGGTTCCAAAACTTTTTACAGATATCCTTTCAGACAAATTTATCAAGAATTAAACTTTTTAGACTAATGTGTCAGAATTAAGTTATATATATGTGTGTGAGTGTGTGTGTGTGTCGTGGTTTACAATAAAATCTAGCTCATCTGTGTTTATTTTGTACCTCCTTTTTTGTTAATCTAAGTGAAGAGAGCCAACAATTTTGAGCTGACTGGCTATATACTCTTGTTCAAATACAGAATATGTTTCCCTGGTTACAGGTTATGTCTTCCAACACCACACTGAAGAATCACAAAATAAACAGTGTATGTGAAGTTTATTTGGCCACACTTTTGTCATGTTTTCTCGAAACTGGCAAATTGTAACTTTTTTCCCATGATACCAAGTAGGCCTGTGAAAAAAAAATTCTTGCAGGGGCATGACAACCTTACCTATAACCCAGACTGGAGTAATGCAGAAAGGAATGGTCACTGTAATGGAGGAAATAGACACATTAGCTGCTTTATCCTGAAAATGACAGATTTATGTCACCGTGTCAGCGTTTGGGGCACCATTTAGTTCGTAATCTTTTGTTCTGCCACGTCTTTGGAATCCTGCTACACATATATTTGTACAAGTAATAGATTTAGCTGATCTTTATTGTTTGGTCCTATTGTGCCCATGGTCATTCATACTGCAACAACATGTTTCAACATGTAAGATTGGGAATGTTGGAGGATGATGAAGTCAGGATACACTACTTTTTAGTATTTCCAGGCACCCAGCCAACCAGGAGTTGCCACTAGAGAGTAATGAAATTAACAGACTTTAATAGGCAAGGCTTTTTGTTAAATTTTGTTACAAGACCATAATTTGCTTCCTACCAAGGTAGTTACGTATAATATCCAACTGAGTGTGGAAGCGGAAGCACAAAGGCTGAAAAAATATGTTTTGTTCGACAAATTAAGCCCAAGGCTTGAAATTACAAAATACATTCCTTATGTATCTGGGTGGTTCATGGAATAGGACCTTCTCCTGGGAGACCTACAGTTGGGTGTTCAAATCCCAGCCAGTTAAGTTAGTTGGTATCATCCCTTTGTAGTGGCCACTACTAGTCAGACTGGATGCCTGTAGAAGCACTAAATGAGTGTATGCTGACTTCAGCATCCTCCAACATAGGTAGTGTGTGATTAATTGCGGGATGGAAAAGAAGGGAGATTGTCCCCACAACCCTACAGCCCTGGGGGCTGGCTGAATGGCTCTTGCAGTGAGCCAACTAGTTCAACCACAGGATGGGACAAAATCAAGGGAAGAAAACATAAGCTTGTTTGAATATTTTATATGTTACTGGACACAAGCATCCTTTGGGATGTGTTGTTTTCATTATGAAGTAGAACAGCATACAGCCTTAAAGAGAAGAAGTCCATTCAATTGGGTACCAGCCTGAAATACAATAAGACTGTAATGGTAAAAGAGGAGCTGTGGTGAGGCTTGAATTAGACCCTGTGTCCCACGTACCCCCTCCCTGCCCGACTGAATGTCACACTGACCCAGTTCATATTTAAGTGTGCTTTCTGCAGCCTCCTGCCTGCCTTTCAGCTTGGTTTTTTGCTAAAATTATAATGGCCGGAATTGAAGCCTCATTTGGCGGGGGTCGTTGGGGGTGTGACACATGGACAGCTGTCATGATTGAGCCTAGTGTTACTCAATCCCCCCCCTCGATGGGCTAAAATAGTTGTGTGAAGGCGCAGCACTGAGAATCCTGTCAGGAGATCATAAGTCAGAGTAGGTCAATCCAAGTGTTTCAAAAGTTCAGTGAGACCCTCACAAAACCTTTTCACAACCAATGAACTTGCAGTGGGTGTGGCTTTTCCTAAATATGTGGGTCATTCCCTCAGAAATCAGCCAGTCCCTTATTTACCCTGTCAGATTTTCCAGTTTTTTCCTGAACAGTTACTACTAAGTATATGCTTAAACAGTGCTAAATATTAAGCTCACATAGTTGACATCTTTTGTGTTAATGTCCCTCTGAACCTATTTGGCTACCTCCAATTTAGCCCCTTTTGTATTCCATAACATTTTTTGCTATTCTTAATTGCTGATAGATATGAAGCCATGAAAATATCAGTACTTATATATAACAATATAGTTATAGACTATGTTAATAAATAAGCTAGATATTCAATAATCTTACACCATGTTGCCATGTTACATCAAACAGTGCACATGTTTGTAGTACTAAGGCCCCCAATTTATCATATGATGACCAAAACTGAGAAATAAGTCTATGGGATGTTGTATATATGGGACAATAAGTCTATTGTAACACAAGCAGTGTAGTGACCAACACCTGTGAGATTTGGTTAAATGTAGGCTTTCCCATTCCGGGAGTCGAACCCGGGCTGCCTGGGTGAAAACCAGGAATCCTAACCGCTAGACCATATGGGATGCTGTTGTTGCATCTCTCCAGAAAATCCCAAGTGGCATAATACAGTAACTACAAAGCAGAAGAGGTCATCTTCAAAATGCAGCCAAAACGATTTTGAAATCAGCAGCAAGGTAAAAAGGCAAGGAGAAAAATCCGAACTGCACGTCACTTGCGTAAGCTGTTGGTACCAACATGTCTGCAACCGTATGTCAAATGTAGACTCCCAGGAAGCTTTCTCGAGCACAAGGACTCAAAACTCTTACCCACCTCACTGGAGGTTTAACGCGCAGCTTGTGTCAACAAAACAGGTCTGAGATCAGTGGCATTGCAAAAGGTAAGAGGGCATGTCAAGAAAGGCAAGTGGTGCAAACAGGACTGAGAAGTCCTATTTGAGCACCAGTATCTGCCCTGACCTGGATTCAAACCGAGGTTGCTGCAACCACAACACGGCATACTAACCACTATACGATTACAGCTGACATTTAGTCGTGGCTCCTGGTTGTCATGTTGCTCTTGCTCTTTGTTTCCACTTATTGTAGCTCCCCGCATGGCAGGGATCTGAAAGTGGTACAGACAAATGGAAAACATTGCTTGAGAAGACTTTTGTCAAGAATCAATACATATCAAAGAAAGGCACGAAATGTTACAAAAAGTGTCACTTGAAAGATTCTTTATCTCCAGTTTGATACAAAAGGTGACATTCAGCCATGATTTTATCTTCGATAAAGATGGTGTGTAGTGAAAAATGAAATGTGTATTGGTGGTGAGATGCAGATGGAGCTGACAGCTAGGAAGCATCCTGCCACTCCCTGTCACCCAGTTATTCGTTACAGTTTTCAAAATCCTTTGAATTATGTCAGAGAGTGGAAATTTTTCATTTTAAAACTATTCATTTTGGAACTGCAGAACAGCTCTTATCATGAAGACATTGGAATTTAGGTGAAACATTTGTGTTGTGGACCTTTGAAAGAGTTAACTATGACATAAGGTTAATTCATAGTGTCTTTGCCCTGTTCCTTCAGTTACATGTGGTCTAGACCCAGTCTGATGATCTTACTTAGACACACTCACCAATCAATCAGTTAAGAAGCCCAGATCTATTACCTCACTCCTCTTTATCTCTCCTGCCTTCTCTCCGTCTGCCTTACGTTTCCCTTCTTCCTCCCATTATTCTCTACCGTCCCCTGTCTGGCCTCCCACTGTCCACACACTGTTGCTCTTATATTGCCTGGCTGTTTCTTCTCCACTCTTCTCTGCATTTCCCCTTACCCAAGCTGGTACAAAAGACCTACACACCCTGACTGTGACCCTCTGTCTCTCTCTGTCCAGGCTGGGGTAAAAGGAAAGCTGGGTCGCCTGTTAGGAGTATTTGAGGTGAGTGTCTGATCCGAGATTACCGCTTGGTTTGGTTGGCATTTCGGTCCTCTTCATATAAGTTTCCTCTACCATTAACTTGTCCACCAAACTTGTGTGCTGCCCTCCCTGACCGACACAAAAATTATAATGTGCCTACGTCACATGATGGTCGCATAACACACCCATGATTTTAGGATCAACTGGAGTGAAAGTGATCATGGTGATTTTTTTTTCGCTTCAGATTGTGAAACATAAGATAGACATTGTTAAGTTAGGCTAGTGAGCATCTTTATGACAACGTAGTGACATTACATTTAGGTACATTAGATGGCAAAAGAGTCAGTTAAGCTGGCAATTAGCGAATATTAAAATGACTCTACATTGTGGCTATTCATATACTTTTTAATAGCTGTATGTTAACATATATCAATTAAAGCAGAATTTCCAAACAACCTTCCCCCCAAACTCCTGGTTGAGCATATAGGCACGCCATAGGCACTGCTAAACACTGTGTATTGAAATGTATGTTGTGTCTCGCCCCTAAAGCAGAACCAGGACAGGAAGCATCGCACGTACGTGTACGTCCTGACCGTCACTGAAACCTGGAGGCCTGGGAAGACTCCGTCAACATCGGTAAGTGCCCTCACCTCTAAACACTGTCTTTCCACATCCTAAAATGTGCACTTCCGTTCCTCTATGAAATATTTTAGTTATAAAGATCTTTCCCCAAACATTTTATTTATCTCGAGTGCTTTTTGTAAGAACGATGGCTAAGTGCAAAGAGATTTATATTCAATTATACTTTCCGTTTTTACAAGGTTTCCTTCATAGTAATGCCTCCCAAGTATTGATGAAAAAATAAAATAATCTGACTACATCGGATTACACATCCATTCAGCTCGATGTATGCAGCTAATCAGAGTACACAGCCTAAAAAAATAATCTGAAATGCAATTACAATGAAAATACCACATCGTGGAAAGTAGTCTCTACCGAACTGTTGCTTCTATGAAGTTCCAGCATCATCAATATTGTATGATATTTTTTTAAAATTAAATGGTCTGTTCAGCTGTTGTGGAGGGCTTTTCAGCCAATGGAGCTGGAGGAAAGCCTCCAGGTTGCCTGCAGCATCTGTGGTTTTTGATGAGGGTCTATGCATGTCTTTTCTTCATGTTTCTGCCTTCAGTTTCCAAGAATCTAAGAATTACCAGCAATACCTCTTTGTCCTGAGGCTATATGACTGCATCTAAGATAACCTCCAGGGCTCCACCTTCAGTAACCTTCATCAGCTGGAAAGTAAAAGTCAATAACCCAAATATATGAATATCGTAAGCCAATAAATCCTGATAGCGTGTTTCCTCGGGAAACTCACCCAAGGCCTAGAACTATTTTCAGGCAATTGGAAAGAATATGTTTTGCTCCAAGTTAGACTGTAAAACAAGAAGGATTGCCTTCTCAAAGACATTCCCTTTGTCATCTCCAGAGTTATTTGTGATGTTAGTGGTTGAATTGTTGTTAGGGTTAAACTGTATAGTATACCTGTGACGAAATCTAATGTCTACAGTCCTAACTGGAATGATATACAACATTCAGATGCACCATCTGCGAATCATTATTAGGATCTCTTATGGGTCAAATAATCAAGCAAATGAAAAGCAAATGTCGGAATTAGCACGACTGATTCTAGACACCGATGGCAGATCTGGTGCTAGCACATGTCCTGACCTCTGTAAGGAGAGACTGCCTTTCCCGTCAGAATCTGACAGCCTCTCTGCTACACAGAAGTCGAAACAGACGTTTTCCATGACCATAGAGGAAAGGGAAAGCTTTTCGCTCAACAGCTCTGTAATGTCTGCCAGGAGCGCTAACCAATTAGCACTGGACCTGGCAAAGGTCTCTCAATTAAACTGCATCAAAATCTCTGTATTCCTCGAGGCTACAGCTGATACCTCATACGCGAAACCTTTCTAGATGAGCTGGACATACCTAAACCCAGTCCGGATGAACAGCCCTCTCTCGACAGTCCAATACCCTTTATAGAGATTACTCGATCAATCGAATCTGTCGGGGTTGGAAGGCCGAAGAGTCTGATGGCTTTTCTATTCATTATAACAGAGCATTTACTCAAGAATTTGACCCCGTTCTGAAATCAATGTATTATGAAATTCTCAGTACTGAAAAGGTACCTTGGGGACAAATGTAACTCTGATCAAACTGGCTTCATTTCAGGAAGCCAGTATTATTTCAGTATGCCTGTTTCGTATCCTCAACCCGCTCTGATTTACAGCCAGAGGTTATTTCACTTGGTGATGAAAAGAGTTTTGATGGGAATGTGTAGAACTACTCCTTGGATTTACAGTTCAAGCGTGCCTGCCAGCATTAAAGATAAAAAGATTTTCAATACAGGAAGAAAGACTTCAGTACGGAAGCAGAGAAACGTTTACATGAATGCCTTACGTTGAAGAGGTCAAAGTTCATGTCTGCATGAACTGTGCTACATGAGAAGGAATGTTTTTGTAATGTTTTTATATTAAATGGCTGAAGATATGGAAGATTTTTTTGTAAATATAGCATTCATCAGGTAACATACTCATATACCATTCACATAAAGTAAGATGCATAAGATTTATTTTTCATCATATGCAAATTGATTGGTCTGTATTTTGTCCATTTTTTTCAACCACCAATTATGAAATGACCAGATCTGTGATTGTCCATATTTTCTCTGTGTCTTTTTTGTGCAAATCAGATTAGTACTTGTACTTAGTGGAGTAACTACTTGGACAAGTGAGGTGAAACTTTGTATTCAGACTTTTGTAGCAGATGTACACGTGAATGTTTTTGCCAGACTATTTTTCGTCGTGCTACCTACACCTTAACTGGCAGCACCTGAACAGATGGGACCTATTTTTGCCAGAAACATGGCCGTGCCTCCTCTCACTCCTAACCCACAACAGACCCCTAGTTTAAATCAATCTCTTGACATGGAGGGCAGCAAAAAAAAAACTGGCAGAGGTCACAGGTGAAAAGGCAGTGATATGGTTTAGTTTTGACTGACAGAGGGGTGAAATTTCATCTTGTAGCTGTTCGTCTGATGCAGCTTTTTTGCTTGAACTTATTGTTGTGCTGTTTACCCAAGCCATGCTAATGCCAAAAGTGTATGCCCATTCCATCAATCAGTGACTGCCAGGGGCGGGGAGCTGATGTGACCTCTGGCCAGAGGGAAAGCTAACTCAGTGCTGTCCACCCATGCAGAGTACCTCTGAACTCAAAGGACCATCTGCTAGTAATCGTCCAAAATCAAGGGCTCAGGATCCATGCTGAACTAGCACTCAGTGTTCTGTTACTCATATATTTCCGCCGTCATCTTCTTTCATTGTAATGGCTTTCATAAAGGACTTCTTGGCTGAGTGAAATGGTTATTACAGATCGTAATTGGAATTTCCCTTTGATGAAATAAGATATCAAAGGAAATTGTGCTATATGTATTAGGAACCCCTTGATTTGTTCTGCTCCTTCCGCCGCGTAGCTGCTCACATATTAGAGATGGACGGAGAATGTAAGACACTCTGCACTGCTTCCTATCTTCCCACAGACTGCTAGTTCAAAGCTTTCTTCTGTTGCTACCTGCTAGCTAGAAGATGGACTCAGCGTCCACGGCAGTGTCTTTTTGAAGAAAGGAAAAGGATCTTGGGATATCTCTTTGCACCCAAGTCTGTAGATTTGAGCCTATGACTAGCCCATAACTCTTTGCTGAATTTAATGACGTCACAAATCAGAACGGTATGTCGCAGAAGGTATAAGTTTTAGGGGCTGCATCCGAACCCTGCGTTTGAAAGTGCACAGAAAGGCTGGACCACATGATCCACAGACTTGTGGAACTGTGTGAAATGACAGGGAAGCTAAATTTGGTGGGGCATGCACACCCTTGGATCTGTAACTCTGACCCCTGAAGTGCTAAGTCTTCAGTCCTATATGTTTACCCACCAAAATCCAAAGACCTTGTAAACAAGGAGAACAGGAGAGGCCGACTTTTTTTGTACTCCATAAATGTTTAATTAGAAACTAAATTAAGAGAGTGGTCAGGTGGTATACAAGGAAAGAACTGACAAGATCCCCT